GTTAATGACTTAAATCGCTGAAGAAGCAACGGATGCAAGATTTAAAACAGTTAATGGTTTTGCAGATCAAGGCACATCGGTAGGGAATGATGAAAAAGAACTACGATTAAAGAAGGCGGAACAGTGTAAATCAATGGTCGTGTATAAGTTGTGGTGATTTGGACTGATCTGTAAGTTGTAATGTCGCGTTGAATGAATGAAGAAATATTCGTTGAAATTAAACCTTATCAAAGATTTTGTCGTTGTGAATGTCGTTGAATTTATTTGACGAAGCGAGAAGTTGTTGTGCTTGATATGCAGCTAGCAGAATAGACTGTTGCTGTTGAGCTGCTGCAGCTGCAGCCGTAGCAGCGGACAGAAGGAACTGGGTTGTGGAGTTGGGATCTGGATTAGAACTGGGTTGCGACTGGAGTTGAGGTATGGTTTGCAGATGTGAATTGATGGAGACTGTGGATGGGATTTGGATAAGTTTGTTTGGGGTTGACGTTAGGGTTTGAGGGATATTCAGTGAGGATGCTGCTGAGGAGGATGAGGATGCATTCAGAGGACGGACCGACGACGATGACTTCTGACGTAAACGTGGCTTGCGTTTGGGACGATAGACATAGTCCGGATGTTGACGCATTAGTTCATCCCTCAGATCTTTGGCCTATAATGAGCAGGTATTTGAATCATAATAAATCAGAATATCATCATTAGTTTTATTTGAATATATAAAGTAACATTAATAACGAACTTCATGGTATTCTCAAAAATGTGAGGTAAATGAAAATGTTTTCAACAATTCAGCGGCCTTACTGAATTATTTACTGAGTAAGCCGAACAAACAAAGAGATTAGTTTCATGAACAAAATTTCAAACGATGAAATGATCGAAGGGAAAGAATAGCGGAATAAAGGATGCAATAAACGAACCCTTTGAATGTAGGGCGCTTTTTGTTCAGCGTTCATCTTACGCCATTCGATACCAAGTTCTTTACTGATCTGTGAATTATGCATTTTTCCGTCTTGATTTGCGATTTGAGCACGACGAATTTGAGACCAAACCTGGAAATGGATCAGTCAGTGAATTTTTGATGGTTTTTCCCTGGACATCATCGGAAAACATTAGTTTCGAAAAGAAGTTTATCATCATTAGTTGACACAAATCGAATAGGATTTGTTCAAGTGATACCGTTATCACTTGCTTCAATATTCAGTAAACGCAACAAACAATTCAAACGCCAAATGCCAAACACGAAATTCACCATAAAAGCGTTCATCGGTCGTTTGATCTTTTCACCGTTTTCCATGCGATCTGGCTCTCGAAAAAATCCATTTGCACATTGCATCAAACCATCAGAAGCGTTACGTTGCCATGTTGACTGCTTGGGAGATGCTGAAAAAAATGTTTTTGGGTGCTGCAATAAAGTGCAGTGCAAACTGAATACGTTAGACGGACCCCTTTGAAATTTTCCTCACATTTCTTCAGCTATAGTGACTACGACGAGTCAAAACAAATTATCTCGTTTCGATGAGATTCGCTTCTTCCACTAAGAATGGTGTGAATTGGGTCTTGCAGAGAAACTAGCGGTTTTCTTTATGAATTCTCAACTTTTAGTTTCAGAATCGCGATTGTGCGATCTATTTTTCGATTCACATCAGTTCATAAATACATCTATAAGATTCCATTTCGATACATGCTAAAGTGCTAAAGAAATGAGAATCACTTGAAGATCGACACTCTCATAGTCACAAATGTAAAAGCACCACTTAATGAAAGTATGATGTAATGGAGGGAGTGTCAAAATGTAATCTAACTTCCAGAGCTGCATCCAGACGCAGTGCTCGAAGAAGAGGTAGAAGGTGAGTGCAATGCTCTGAGATCGTTGCTCATCGAAATCGTATCGCCGCTGCTCGTACTCCAACAACTTTTAAGATCAGTGTTTGTGCTTGACAGATGATGATCTAGCACCTGAGACATATGAAGCATTCGAAACTGTAAATAGCTAAATATAAAACTGCATCGTAACCCGTTCGCACTCGCATTATTTCGACAACCCAAACGAATCACAACTCGTCAACGATCACATCAAACAAACAAGCTGCGCGTTGAACATACCCACAAACTTGCTTTATAAACTTCAAAACATCATCAAGGTGATTGCTGCTTCATTTCCTATAAGCAATCTCTGCACACAACTTGACTTCTGATCATTTTACTACGTGTCTCGTAAAAAACAACAACCACGGACATTATTAATTTATGGATGCACTCAAATTCCTCTTTCAACACATTAAAAATGAAACTAATGTAAACAGGAATACTTTGATGGTTATTTGATGTAGTGCTATGGAGAAAGGGAATAATGATCGCATCTAAGCTATCACTTTAATATAACGTCATTTCGTTCTTATTTAAAATTTAGTTACTAACTGAAAGGTGAACTTCATTTGCTGACGGACTGTTTATCATAGTACGGGTTGGAGCAGGTAGAAAGACAGTATAATGCTACAGTAATTGTGTAGCCAGCTACATGGATACAATCAAAAAACTGACGCTTACACACAATGAACAATGCACACGAAGGGTATCAACGAGTAGAGGAAAACTCACTGAGAAAATCATTCAAAAAGTTGAACGTTCAAAAAATACTTCGCAGAGTCACATTCATCACAACAACAACTGCTTTATCAAACAAGCAAAAACAACCCTGACGCGGATCGTTTAATCAAAGCAAACTCAGTTTCATAAAGAAAAAAAGTCGAATACTGATGTTGAACGCTAGAAAAAGCATTCATCAATTGCAATCATGAAAGAACGTTGAAAACAATCGTTACAAATGAAAATTCCAGATCAGACTTCTTCAACATCGAACTTATTATATTCAAAATGCAACCAACCATCATTTTAAAAAAAACTAATTTCAAAGAGCAACCATCTCCGCTTCATAACACACCATGCATCATTACCAATCAGATTCTCAAATTAATACCTCCACATCATATTACCATATATATTTGCCATTCTTCCATGACTAACCTCAACAATACCCGTTCAAATAACGGACAACGAATGCTTCAGTGGTTGAGTGAATCAATCAAAAGATAATCCCATCAAATATACATTAGAATGCAACGAAGAAGTAAACAAGTAAATAAATAGACAAATCATTGTTTGAGTGGCTGAATGAGAATGAATATACGTGTAATGGATGGACGGTCGAGGATGTACAATAAAATGTAATATGAATTGTAATATCGCTATGTGCAAGTGTTCAAGGTCATAATGTTGTCTTTGAATTGAAATAGTATCGCAGTTGTGCAATATTAATCAATCACATAAATCTCATTGAATACTTCAAACTGATAAATTCATCAATTCATCAGTTTATCACTCTTTTTTATTCTCTTTTACAATTCAAAAATCCAACAAAAACACCTAATAACACTGTTGTCCGTTCGTTTGAAGTGTATTCGTTCAAATGAGTATTTCTTTGACAATCATCACCAAAATATCGATATTTTACTGATCATATCCTTCACTTAAATGCTTTCATTAGATGAAACTTGTAAGTCATTAGTGAAAGGTTGTGTAACGAAATAAATTAATACGAAACCATTAATAGTAATAGCAATAACACTTTTCATTGAAACAGCACTTTATGAATAATCCGAATGCAAATCATTTAACGAGCAGGAACCTTAATCAGCAGCTTACTCATTGGAATATATATATATATATATATATATATAT